GTCAAGAAATACTGCAGAACAGTACTCCTTGCAGTGTAAGGCAACGTCGATGATGTTAACTCGACGAACTTGCTATAAGGTCGAATACTTTGCCCGAAAACCAAATTGATAATTTGGAATTATATCATAGGAAATTATATGATCATTTATTCGATTCAAAAGCAATTTTTCGAAAATTTTTATATAATCGGCAATAAGCTGATAGGTCGATATGATGGTGCTATGTTGGTCTTTTCTAGGCTTCAGTATTAGTATGATTTTTGCAATTTTCCATGCTGTAGGAAACTTGCGAATCCTCAGGATTGCATTAAAGACGATGGTAATGAATCTGAATACAATGACGGGCGATTCTTTAAGCATTTTCATTGATACTTTGTCATGGCCAGGAGATTTACCAGTTTTGGCTTTGTTGATTTGACGTTTTACTTCTGATAATGAAATTTTTATAATTGAATCTTCGTTTCGAGGTTCATTCTGTAGATACTGGTGGATAAAATATTCAGCACTGTCTGTACAACTTTGAGGAGCTGGATGAAAAGAATTAAATAGATGATCCGCAAAGATTTGTGATTTATCTATTGGGTTTCTAGCCCAGGATTGATATGATTTCCTCATAGGTGGAATTTGTCTTATTGGATTTTTGATTTTTCTAGTCGCCTTCCATAATGAATAATTGGTATCCTGATTTGGAGTAAGATTGTTTAAGTAATTATCGAATGATTCATTTTTGTGTTCAAAAATTAGTGCCTTTAGGTGTCTGCAAGTTTTATTAAACCTTTTATCTTCCGGTGAGCGGGTTAATTGCCAAACTTTATGCAATTTTCTTTTAATTGCAATATTTTATTTAATATTTATAGGACACAATGATTTTCGATTGCCTGCGAACTTGGGAGTAGAACTTTCAGCCGCATCTTGAAATATATTGGTTAGATTGTTTATTGCATTGTTGATATCATGTTCATGTTTAAAGGAAATGTTACAGTTCACTTTGCTTTCCTGTGCTACCTGAGAGTACGTTAAGCTTGGGTGTGCTAGTGAGTTCTTATTGTTGTTATGTTCTTTGTTGCGTGCTGGCGGGTATTTTCGAATAAGATGTTGTTGATATATGCGGCAGCCTTTGTAGTTCGCTGGATGCCCTTCGTTACATAAAACACAAGTAACTTTTTCATTAATTTTATCAGTCCGATCACAATCTTTGGTGAGATGGTCTTCCGCGCATTTAACGCATCGCGGCTTCTGAAATAATAGTTCTTCGTATGTCCCAGATTTTGGCACCTTGTACATTGCACAATTTCTCGTCGATAACGTTTGGGTTCGATATCTACTTTTGTGCTATAAAGATATTCAATTTTGAAAAAGTCTTTATTGTTGGCCTGCTGTTCTAATTCAATGGCGAAGATGTTTAATGGATAGTTATGAAATCTGCTTTTTAGATTATATATTATTACGACTTTATGGCCCAGTTTTTGAATTTCTTTTGTCAACATATCAATATCAGCGCTGTGATGTAGGTTTTTTACAACTACTTTGAATGACCGATTAGATTTTTCTTGAAACGAGTGCATTTGTGTTTCCTTTTCTTTTAATAGCTTAAGAATTTTGTTGTAGGTTTTTGGACTGTCCAAGTTTATTTTAACTTGACTGGCACTAATTGTTTTTAATTTCTATTAATTTTTTGCTTCGTTTTTGAGTAGTAATTTCAATGGTTTAATGTCACCCACCTCATGAACAAAGATAGACGGGGGTTTATTATCGGTTGCAGTGTGTTCGGTATTTTGAACAGTATTTTGTGTTTGTTCAGAGTTTGTTGCGTCAGTATGTTTGCTTAATACGTCATAATAATTTTTCGTTGGCGTCGGGTTTAGCCAATAATCAGCAGATATTGTTTTTTTTAGGCGCGACGTATCATAGGCTTCATCACGTTTTTCTTTTTTAAAACGAATTGTTGTCCAATCTTGTGAATTTTTGTTAATATTATTTTTGTTATGTCGAGCGGGAGTTTCGGCGACGTTGTTTTGGTTGACGGTAGGAACGTCTACACTCATTTCTAAGTCGACACTACTAGCGGTATCATTTGGTATATTATTCACACAATTTATTGATTTTAAATGATTTTCAACAAACTCAGAAGTTGTTGTTGAATCATCTAGTAATATATTTGTCGTATAATAAATGTCATATAAATTACAATCTGTCTCCAAGAGACATTCAGTAATTAGATTGTTGGTAGTAAAAATGGATGCTTAAAAGGATACCCAGTAGTAAACCTTTTAGTTATGATATGTAACAATTATGGCAAAATATTTATAAATATAGATACTAAAACCTATTGTAAGTCTAAACATGCATAAATAATATATGACTATAATTACATATACATATAAATAATTCTTACATAAACTAGCTTTACTTATTCTGTTAATTCGAGTAATGATTGTCTGTTTAATCTCTGATTATATGTGGTATTGTACAGTTCGTTTGCTAGGACGTTGGGGTGACTGCTTATTTTTGTTTTATAGTTTTGTGCTATTTTGTTTATCTCTTCATTTACTATGTTGACGTTTGCGTCTTGGTGTATTAGCCATGTAGGCATGTATTTCGGTGCAGAAAGAGCCTCGCGTAGAATTTTATTTTGAAATCTTTGAATGATTTGGATGTTGCATCTTTTCCAACTATGTCCAACTCCATAGTTGGAGGCCATATGTCCAAACTGGCTTAAGGATAACCTTGTAGATGAGAATTTTGTTTGAAGTGCAGAGTTCAGATCGTCTTTGTAGCAGCCAGTAGAGAGTTCTACGGAGGTGTTCCAACTGTTCTCGCTTTTTGAGGATGTATGTTTTCCAGTTAAGTTTATTGTCCAAATACATATCCAGGTATTTAGCAAAGTTTTGTCTTGGAATTTCGTTACCGTATATGTAAACAGGTGGACATGTACTCCTTCGCAGTGTGAAAGTAACTTGAACAGATTTGTTACTGTTGACTACAAACCTCCATAATGTAAACCACTTTTCTATTATATTAATGTGTGATTGTAGCATCGCAGTCGCTGTTGCTGAGTTTTCATGCTGAGAAATAATGCAGGTATCATCTGCGAATGTTGCAAGATTTGTGTTGTGGTGCCAAGGAAAATCTGCGGTGTATAATAAAAATAGCGTTGGGCCTAACACACTTCCTTGGGGGACTCCTGCATTAATTGATTTGATTGCAGACTGGGCGTCCTGTATCTGTACAAAATATGTTCTGTGAGCCAAGTATGATTTCAGTATATAGAATAAAGCATATGGAAGATTCTTTTTGATTTTATATAATAACCCCCAGTGCCACACTTTGTCGAAAGCTTGTGCGATGTCCAAAAGTACCGCGGAGCAATATTTTTTGGTATGCAGAGCAGAGTTGATCTCATTAACTACGCGGTGTACCTGTTGTATGGTTGAGTGCTGCTCTCTAAATCCAAATTGGTGATTTGGAATTATATGGTTGCTTTGAAGTGTAAATTTAATGCGTTTTAGCAGCAGCTTTTCAAATATTTTGGATATGACAGGCAGCAAGCTAATTGGCCTATATGAATCTATAAGATGAATGTCTTTACCTGGCTTGTGAACCATAATAATTTTGGCAATTTTCCAGATTGAAGGGAATGATTGAGTTCTGATTATGGCGTTTAAAAACAATGGTCAGAAATCGTAGCAATTTATCAGGTAACTCCTTAATCATTTTGTTTGTGATGAGATCAGGTCCGGAGCTTTTCCAGATTTTGTACGCCTTATTTCTTGTGCAACTTCTGAAACAGTTATTTTTTTTTGTGCTCATTAGATGTGGAAACAGTATTGAGAAAATCGAAAACAATTTTTTTTATAATCTGCGCATTTCTGGGGGGCTGGCTGAAAGGTTTCAAATAGATGTTCAGCAAAAATGGCACATTTTTCTTGGGGCTGCCTCCCCCACGTTCCGTCTTTTTTCCTTAG